CTGAAATATTTTCACCGGCATTTCGAACTGGCTTTGCCCTAGTTGCGCAGGCTTTATTAAATTAAATTCCAATAAAATCGTGTTTGGTTCACACGATGCTCACCCCTTCAAGGTTTCTGTGTCCTCTAATGCTGGTATTTATTTTATTTTTTTATTGCCTCTAATCCGTTAAATGCTTTTTAATTGCATCTGCAACCTTATCCCAGGGACACTTGAAAATTCTTTTTGCAGCGCGAGGGAAGTGGGCGGGCTGGGCAGGCAGAAAATATGGTTGAAAAGAGGGTGGCAAGAGGGTTGGGAAGGCGTGAGCTACCCTAGGCTAATTGGTTGGGCGTGAAATGTGTGAGTTTTATTTTACGAACTCGGAAAATTGTCAACCCCTAAAAAAAAGGACCCCTACAATTAAACCCCTGTGGGAGACCAAATTGATAAAGAATGGAGATGCAATCAGCCAAAGTAAACCACTTTTTATCGGATAACATAAATAGTAGCTGAAAAATCGGATAAAGTAAATAATGGAAAGCAAACCGCTTTATAAGATCAACTAGCTTAGAATGTTAATGAAATAAAAATTAAAAAAAGGGATTGGCTAAAACTTTTTATAACTTTCAAGTTCAACACAGTGATAAACATATACGTCATCAAGATTTTTATAATATTTTTAAAAAATAATTAAGTAAACCTTCAAAAAAAATTGTTTTATTAATTAAAGATTTAGATGTTGGACTGAATGTAAAATACTCATTTCTATCTGACTACTACATCTTTATTGTCTTTTGAGTAAAATGGGGTTGCATAAAGTTAATTACTTTAAATGTTAGAAAAATCTTTACGTCTGTTTTTTATAAATACGGATTGAGCAAATTGCATAAATTTTGATTCATTAAGTACTATTAAGTAATATTTATAAATTCACTTTTTTATCTTGTACTTGATTTCCTCAGTGCAATAACTTTAAGTGAATTTAAGCTTGAGTTCATTCAACTGCAAGCCGAGCTTAAACTTGAAAAGCTCTTTCACCTGCCCGGCTAAGCTTTTAAGCCCTCCAGCCACTCAAGTTTTGCGGCTCAGCTCGGCGACGTCTCAAGAACCCACTCAAGAAATGCTCATATCATAAGACCAAAGCTAAAACATACATGCTAACATTTACTCGGCCATATGTAACAGCTCGTAAATCTGAGGGCCATATATGTATGTAAGTACAAACATAGATGTATGCACATGCAGTTTTAAATTAAAAACAAATTGTAAGCACGAGACCAAATAATTTAGAGACATCATGACCCTAATGAGTGTGGGAACTTTTTTTTTGTAAACGTCACTGACATTGTCAGCTGAGTGTTCATATATTCATATGTGAGTGTGTGCCTACTTCTGTGTGTGAAAGCAAGCTCTTAAGTGTCTTGTAAGAGCGGCTTGACTACAAGCATTGCCAACTTAAAAAACAATTTAAAAATTCATTAACGGTAACTGAATCTAAAAGATGTTTTAGAAGAAGATACAAATTTGAGTACTGATTTGTTATCTAACTTTTTTGATTGAATTAAACATTTGAAGATTATTTTTCTAATCCAAAACTTTTTCTTTTTTTTATTTCAGCCTTTGGGGATAAACTTTTACAACTAAAAGGTAAGTAACTTAACATAATTTGGAGAGAGAAAGAGAAAACGAAACAAATGTAATATATGTTTAAAAAATAATCATATTTTCTATAAATAAACTATGCAGCAAAACGTGTGAATAATTAAAAATATACAGATGCCTTGTAACACGAAAAATACCATTTAAAAATGTACCTTAGCTTGAAATTGAAAATAATTCCCTTTCAAGGATTCGATTATTTCTCACCCTCTTTGAATTGTCGCCAAATTGTTTCAATTATTATCCAACGATTGATTGGTTAATCTTCTTGTCTCGTAATGGTAATCCCAAACAATTGACCCAACAATTTGTATTAGTAATTGGCTTCTTAATCGTAATTACAGGCCGGATTCGGTTCAAATCGAGTGAATTGGTCTGTATTGGATTGTATTCCTCATGCTTAGCCATTAGTGTGTGTTTGAGCGTATTTGTTGCCTTTGTGAGCCTTTCAGTGCAGCATTTTGCGCATTTTGATTGAAATTTTGATTAGGTTGCACATGTGGCATTTGTCTGCCCCCTCAACCCGATTGACTGACATTGATTTCACAGCTTGTGGCCATTTCTCTGTCTCCCCAAGCTCCCTCTTCCGTTTCACCTTTCCCATTGTCTGGCCCTATCATTTGTCTGTTCATTCCAGCGGTGATGGAGTTATTTGTCAGCGGTAGGCGGCGGGTGGTGAGTGGGCGTGTCTGGGACCCAGGGTCCCCACATAAAGTGTAAGCTGTTTTCATTATGGTTTATCTAAAAGTGTCGAGCATTTGCTGTTATGGCTTTAACACACTTAGCACACAGAGAAATTTTCAAGTCATTATTTATTATTATTTAAATTCTAAAAAGGACGATTTTTCCTACTTACAGTTATAGTTATAAACTCAATTATTTACTATATATTATTTATTTGTAGTTTTTGTTTTTGTTTTTATATGAGTAGATAGCACACAATTTATTAAGTTATTTTCCTTGAATGTTTAGTTTGAACTGTTTAAAAATCATTCTTTGAAATAAATATCAGTCCATTTTATAAGACAATAAGTTTTCAGTAATTTCAGTATTATGAGATTATGATTAGGACAAATTAAAGAACAACATATAATGTTTTGCTAAGTGCATTTCTGTTTGCACCCATTGCACCAATTTGTTTTTTTCTGCATTTAAGTAGCGATAATGTTGGCGTGATTGTGGGCCATGTGTAGGTAGCAATGGTTTGCTCCAAATAGTCTTGATACCATTTTTTACCACCTGATTTCATGTGCTACCTGGATTAAAGTCGCTGCTGCATTGCAATTTTTCGCACGTTTCAGTGCTAAAAATTCTCTTTTTCTTCTTTATTTACTTCTCTCTCGCATACAAATTTATCTACCTTGTCGTTATCTAACTTTCTCTTAGGCGTTGATTTTCTCTCCGGGAGCATACAACGACCTTGCCTCTCGCTCTTGTTCTCCGGTATCCGCTCTCGCATTTCGATCGATCATTTTGCCATTGTTGTCACGGAATTTAGGTTGGGCAACTAATTCAAATCGATACGTTCAATACATTGATTAACGATCCCTGATACTGTTCAGTTAATCAGTTTTTATTCTTTTCGTTTGATTTCTGTGTCTGTTGACATTTCATAACCACTTGGCCATCATTCGCTTTGAGTTAATGTAAAACCTCGGGTCTGGGGTAACTCTCTTTAATGACTCTCTTGAGTGCCATAATCACTTCCACAGTCACTCGTTCTCCATTCTCCACCGTCCATGTGAAAAAACTGGCAGCTGCAGAACCAACGAAACCAACAACTGGTTTTGAGTGCCCTTCTGTCGCTTCGATAGGGTATTTGAAATATAGAATAGTAAAAAATATGTTCTCCAAGCCATTTCTTCAATTTTGAATTTTGGTCTGGGAAACTGTTAATGGGTATTTAAAAAATAAATCTTTTTTAAACGTTGTCCAATAAATTATTATATAGGATTGAGGTATAAATAAATCGAAAATTAAAGTTGTAACAGATTGTTGTATTTCACACAGACTAATATATCTCTAATCTACTCGCTTTTAACCACAGACAAGATAAATAAAATATCGTAAAGCTACTTGGGAAAAATTCCATTTTAGTTGCCTCACAATAAAGGGTTCTATCATTTATGCCCACAAATCTTTAAAACTGGGATTAGTTACATGTGCTAAATCCCGATCTTCCAAGGCAGCGCATCTGGGCAATTTCTAAAACTGTTGGCGAGGTTATTACAAAATAATTTTAAGTCCATTCTTAACAGCCCGACTTAGTGATTATCTCTAGACCCTGCCTTTTTGGGAAATTCCCACATTTAAAGAATAGAAGTGAGCTCGTGTTTTCCTAGAATTTTCCATCACTAGGCCTGACCGCAAATCTTTTAAGCCACGGTCAACGAATCGCGATCTTCAAATGCAGCGCATCTGATATTGTACCTAGCCTAGATACAGATAAACCCCCTCTCTCGCTCTTTTAACTCTAGCGGCCTCCTTCCCACTCTAAAAAAAAACCTACAAGCTACAGGAACGCATCGCAGTTTTATCATTATCACAACAAATACAAATACATCAGAGCGGAGGTGAGATGGAAGAACGGTCGTCGTTGTTGGTAATAAATAAACACAATGGAACTGAGCAAATCTACAAACGTACTCTAACACTGAAAGAAACCATTTTAAAATGTGTCTCAATATGTAGTATGTCATTTGTACTAACATTCATTATCATTATCCATATATTTCTCAGGGAATTTTAATTCTTTTAATTGAAATAGTGGCATTATTTTAGATTTTTCTTTATCCTTTGGATTACCTTTTTAATTTTAAAGAAAAATAAAAGTATGCAGATATCAATAAAAATTAAGTTTAAAGTAATAAAGTTTGAAGCTTTATACCATCAAAGAAAATTTTGTTAAATAAAGGGCTTTAGCATTCTTTTGTATACCGTGGCCCGTGATTTTTACTCAGGAGAACATAAATATTATGGTATAGTATAAACTTTTCGTAAAAGTATATTCATTATATTATCCAACAATTATTCTTATCTTCTTGTAAGATCTTCCGGACTGATTTTACGATTTTAAAATCATATAGAAAACATTTTTGATTACTGTAGAACATTGTAGATCCTTACGGTAGTGATAAAGCGGAGATCATTGCTCACCTTGTCAGTTGTTGTGCCCATCAGATCTTTCATACACATTTTCAACGCGCAAAGATTTGTTCTCTGTGCAGACACACACAACAACCAACACGAGCACCCCTGTAACAGCTGTCGCTCTCTTCCGCTCTTGGCACGCTCACTCTTGCCACTCAAAAGCAACGTTGAGCGAATGAGCCGCAGTCGACTCAACTCAACCCAGTACCAGTGACAGTACAGTAGAGCAATTTGAGCCGCCGAATCGAGCTAACCGCTTACCGCTTGCCGGACAAACGCGTTCCGTTTTCCCTCCGCTTCCATTCGATTTTGGCCACTGTCGTCGTCGGTTGTCCAGATGTCCGCGTGAGGACAGTAGAACCTTTACCAATTCTGGGGGGGTCATAGTAACGTAAACCTTTAACGTAGTCCTTTGGGCCGAACCGATCCAAACCATCCATACGTCCATCCATTTACCGGGGTCTTTTTTGGGGATCGTTTTTTACGTTTTTTATCGGAGTGTCGCGCTGTCGCTTTTTCGGTTTCTGCGCGATTTTCCCCACATTCCGTGTGCTGTGCTGTGCGAGGTGTTCTTGGAATTAAGAAATAGTTTATAACGAAACGTTGGCAAAAATCCACTGAATGAGCAAGAAAGTTATATAAGGCCCGAACCGGATTTATATATTAATTATACATACAAATGTGACCAAAACAAAAACAGACTGACAACAAAACTCGGCTTTGGGATATACCTAAAACAACAACTCAACTACTAACCGATCCCGATTGTATAAATGGTAAATGTTTAAACACAAAAAACCAGTAACAACAGCCGAAGTTGAGCTTGACTTAAGCTTTGGAGCTCAGGCCAAGTCAAAACGAGTTTTTTGTTGTGCAAAATCCGATTTGCATATAATTCTTCCACGGCTATGTTGTTGTTGGTGATTTGACATTTGTAAAAGCAATAAATACATTTTTGTAAAACTTTCAGTTTTTGACGTCTTCAATATGCATTATTGTAAACAGAGTTTAAAGTTTTATAGGAACAGCTGTCTAAAGTGACATAGATAACTCAAATTCCACCATTAGGTTTCTTTGTTTTTTTTTAGTAAGCTAACTTAAAAAGAAAACCTTTTTCTGCGTTTTAATATAATAATTATGGGGTATTCAAATTAACACTTGAGATACCAAGAATTTGAAAAAGCATTACTCAACTAAAACTCAATAAATCTTTGCTGTTTGCACTTGAACATGGCAATTCAGAGAGGGTTAACAAAGGAAATAAATAGACACAATGTGCAATTAGCTGGTTTTGGCTACATCACATGAACGTATATCTCAAAAGTTACGATTGACTGGACGCGACTCGTCTCCAGTCTCTCACGTCTCTGTTGGTGAATCACTTGGCATGACTACAAACGTATAAACATTTAAAAGTGATCGTATAAACGTATTAACGATATTGCAGTTTTTGGGAATATTTACACAGTCTAAAATTCGATTTAAAGCACACTGAGTTTCTAAAGTTGTATTCATACCCACAAACGTTTTCCCAGCACTTTTGTCAAGTTAATTTATTTTAATGTATACTGTGTGCCAAATTATTTGACTGTCAACTGCATAAATTAGTACTATAAAGAAAAAAAAAAGAAAAGTGGAAATGGAAAATGAGGAAAATTTCCCATTGAAATGAGTAATGAATTGGTTTGGGGCGGGTGAGAACGAAACCAACAGAGAGTGGGTGAAAATATATTATAATAACAATGTAATTAAATGCCAACTTGGTCCGGGCGAAAGCCAAAAGAGAGTTGTGTTTTTCCTGCCACAAACTATGGGATACTTTTGCTATGCATAATTATGCTGTTGCAGTTGATGAACTTGGAATGTTCTTCAAGATCTTGGGGTTTTGACTACCAAAGGGCTCCTGCTCCCTGATTTATGCTGCATTTTCTACTACCTCAGCCTCAGCCAGAGCAGAGATTATAAATCTCAGCAGTTCATAAAAACTTCAGGCAAAAGCTCCAGCAAAAAACCATTCAGAAACATTCCGAGAAAAGCCAGCAACACGAACAGAAAAACTGGTAACAAGCCAAGGCAAAAAGTAAGAACATAATGCTACCTGGGTGCAGTTGGACTTGAGTTAAGCCAACTTTGGGATGTAGGAGCCGCGTCGAACGGAAGAACCGGTTTGGTAGCTGGCAGCCGAGTCCAACTTTTCTCACATGCCTTTCGATTATGCCAAGCCGACTGCATTCTTCGAGACGCGGCTTTCGCTAAACGTTTGGCTAAGATGGAGCTCCATGCTCCCCATCTTTGAGCTTCCCATCCAACTCCATTTCCATCCCCCCGCATAAGTTCAACACACACATAGCCGAAGAGAGACCTCAACTTCAACTTAAACTTCAACTCGATCGTCGCTGCGGCTGCATAAAACTTTAATTTCATGGAATTTCCTTTCTATTTTTATGCAGCAACGCAGATGATTAACAACAGCAGCCAATGGCCAACAAAAAGGGAGAGAGACGTTGGGGAAGTCGTCAAGAACACGGGAACAAGTCCAAGACCAAGTCCAAGTCATGGTTGCCAGCTAGTTGCAACTTCTGGGCCATTAACTTGGCTCGGGACAGGGGGCCATCTATCCCTCATTGGGGCCCTGGCATTCTGCATCTAAGGCAGGAAATTAAAAATGCAAAAAATTGGATAATTATGCATGTAAACGTTTTGTCATTAAGTTGATACTTAAATGCGGCTGCGATTACCGGGCACATTTTTATAGAAAATTTCGCAATTAATGTGCCTGGGAAGACACGGGGGATTTCCTCTCTATCTCTTCCTTTCTTCTAGAAATCCATTTGCCATTGCCCTGAGTGTCGGCTCAACAAATTACAATTATGAACTTCAAAAGGTCTTAGAGAGTTTTGTAACTTCTTATTTATTCTTGACATTTTCCTGGCCTGCCAATAGCTAACTAGCCGTGAACTGCACAGCAAACATTTCGCATTAATGCCAAAAAGTTTTCTCGCCTCCCGAGTGACCAAGACTAAATCGACACGCCAACTTGGTAATAACTTGGCCTTGGCTTTGGCTTCGATAAGTTGGCCAAAACCGCAAAGGTTTCAGAAATGTCAAAGGGCATGGCTGAATATGATTATGAAAACTTACCTTCAATGAATAAGTTCAATTTCCGGTCTTTCAGTTGGTTAAGCTTTGATGGGGGATTAAACTTACGTAGGAGACAATTTGTCAGTTGCAGTGGGAAATATTAAAAATCATCATTATTTTAAGCTTTGATCAAGTCAATCACTGTAGTTGTTGATATATTTGATTTGAAAAACTTGTATGAGTAGTTAAGCGATTCTGGCTAAATTTGTATTGGGGATGCAAATTTAAAATAAATAACATTTAAATATTAAAAGAATATTTTTTCTTATGTATTAGTATAGTCAATAGCATATTAAATCGATAGTAAATAGTTCTAAAGTTCATATACTTTCTGATTCTGCCTAATTGATGATTTTAAATCACTAGAGATTTGTATTGATTGTATTGTATGTTGTTTTACATCAGTTAAATTAAGTTAGCTTTGATAGAAAATGCTATCGTCATGGTACTACATAAATAGAACGTTTATTTACACATGCCAAATTCTTTGATGTCCCCAAATACAGTTGGCACACCTGTTCACCTGAGTTAATAGGGCAATAGGGGAACACTCGCCCCAGTGTTACTTCGCCCACGCAGCACTAGGATGGCTTCTTTTGGCGAATATATGGGTTGTTTATTTAGTTTCCTATCGATTATTTTCATTGACGGTTTTCTCTGCCTACTTTTGGGCGCTGTCACCCGGAAATTGCTAAAGCAATTGGCCAACAGCTGTTCAGCTGTCTATTTACCCCGAATCAACAGCAAAGCGTTGACAAATGGAACATAGAAAACTAACGTGGTTACACTTTTGTGCGCCATAAAATTGATTTGCCTCCGCCAACGCCAACTAACTACCAACAATGACAATCAGAGCAGAGAATGGCACTAGAAAAAAGTCAGTAACAGCAGTTTGGAAAATCGTCAGGCTAGGTTGACTTTCGGTGTTTCGAGTGTGTGGACCGGCGACCTTTACCGCCACTAATTCGTTGGATAATCATCTAAACTTAGCGGTTATCCAAACATAGTTGCTGGTGATGTCACGTAGCTTTCCACGAAACTTGTAAGCAAACAAATTCTCCTCTTTCTGTCTTATCGCAAAGTCACATTTTGAAAAATCCCTTTCCCATTTTAAATCTGTCAGATAAAAGTGTCAACTAGTGTTTCGTTTGCTTCTGTCTGAGAAAGAAAAATATTACAACTTGTGTACTTTGATTACACGAGGCTTTTTCTTGGAAATCAGCAGTAGAAATAGTGCTTTCAAAACAAGGTTCAAAATCCCGTTTTGTTATCTAATATTTTTATACCACATTTAAACATTTAAATACAGTTTCAAGTTACTACATTATAGATTCAGTATACGCATTGAATAAATTCAAATAAACTTTCAAGTTGCCTTAGGAATTTGTTTTCAACGCATTACAAATTCTTGTGCATATGAAAGTAGTTCTTGGAATTCTCCAGTGATTTTTCCTCTCCTACTTTTCCTCGCTTTATGAGTTATGAATGCGTAATGATAAATGTGCTTTGGATAAATGATTGGTTGTTGAAAATTCCTTTTTGTTTCTTTTTATCTTTGTCTTGGCTATATTCAATTGCATTAATGGCATTAACGTGCTTTTCGGCTCAGAAACAGGTTCCCCTCTGTAAAATGTCGGATAACTTTTGTTAAGTATGCCAATGTGATTTGAGTCATCGTAATATTAATTTGCATTAAGAGGGTAAACAAAACTCGTAAGAGTGGTTCGCAGAAAAATATCTTACGAATACGAAAGTGTCTGAGATCGAATGTTATTAGCATCGCATCTGCCGGCTGGCAAACAAACAAAGGATAATAAGGATCTGCTTTCATCCTGTTGAGACACGAACCAAAAGGATCTGTCTACCTGGAAATCGTGGCAAATCGAAGTCAGTATGTCGAGAACAGACGGCGGCATGTGTGAGAGCGATTCCCCACTTAACTAGGCAGAACTGCAGAGAATCCTTCGAGAATCCTTGGCCACGTGCACAGAACATATGTCAGGATCCTGGGGAAAGAAAGAAAGAGACAGGAAGCCGGACAACAACTGCTGGCAGCGGCTGCATTCGAGTTCAAACGACAGATGCAAAACATTCCGAAGTTATTCGAACTGCGACCCGCTGGAAATGTTTTCACCGTTTGCTTGTCTCGTGTTCCTATAGGGTTTATATGCTATACTTCCACTCAATGTACTCACATGTTTATGGATCGCAGGCGTGCCTATTGTTTTTATTTTTTTGTGCCTGCATTTTTACTTCCGTTCGTCGGGTTTTTGAGGTTTCTCTCAAGTGTTTTCTGCTGGAAATACTCGTATTGGAGTTTGTTTTGTTAAAGGATGTGGTGGGACAGTTGAAATTGTGTGTGTGCTGGGGATATTTTACATATCGATTGCTTGCTTGTTTGACTTTGGGGTGCAATTTCAATATTAAACAGCTCTGGCGCATACTAAAAACATGTTTGAAAAAGTATGTCATAATTCAACAAATACATTTGCATACTTCTATATTTTATGGATACAACAAATTTATTTAAAAAACACAAAGAAACAGTAAGGAATATATAATGTTATATTTAAAAGATCTTGTTTAGCGGGGCCAACTTTTAAAGAACATTTTTAATTTCTGAGCTCCCAGCTAA